AAACACAACTAAGTAAAACAGTGTACGATTTAACATTACATCTTCATCATCCCTCGGTGACACAAAAAAGAAAACGTCCTCCAAAGCAATAAGAATGGGTTCTCTCCCAATCAAATTCCAAGGCACTTTGACAATCAATTTCCCAACGCGACCTGTTAAAGGATACGAATGAAAAACAAAGCAACCCAGAAAAAGGAGGAAGAAGCAAAGAGTGAATCTGGTCATAAACCTATACCTTGTTTAAGAGCAAAAGGCAACTGAAGATAATCAAAGGCTTCAAGAATCAGTTGAATGTCCTTCAATTCTACCTCGATGTTCCAGAGGGTAACCTTCACCTGGTCCCTAGAAAAGTCCTTCACGTATCGACCCAGAAGCCCAAGCAGCACCCTTTGAACCACACCTTCCAGCATACCTCGTCTTCTTCTTCTTCCTCTTCTTTTTCTTCTTCCTCAGTTTATCCGGGTTAACGTCGTTCATGCATCCCCAGTCAGGGCTCGGCCGGGTTTCAGAACAGGTACACAGGCCGAAGAAAAAGGTTATATCCCCGATTCAGTCCCTCAACTTTCATTTTTGAACTAAAACTACCCTCGAACTTCAAAAAGTACTAAAAAATCCTTGAACTTCAATTTTTGGGACCAATTTCGTCCTTTCATCCACGGAAGTGCCAGAGGCACGTTAAGTTGCCACAAAATCAATTCTTATTTGAAATATTTAATTACGTGGAAAATAACTAGCCCACATCATTTTAATTAATTTATATATTAAAAAATTTAAAATTCCTTAAATACTCCATCTTCATCTTCCATCACCTCTCGTCTCTCTCTATCCTCAGATGCCTCCTCATCTTGCAACCCAATCAACACCGATCATCCCTCATTACTCCAGTCATCCCTCATTGCTCCGATCATCTATTACCACTCCAATCACCATCTACTTCTTTCCCAAACCTCCTCTCTAATAGAACTCAAATCTAGTTCCTCGCACAATAGATCTAATTCAAAAAATCAATTCCTCTACAAATGTATACCATATCTACAAAGAAAAATGGAAAAAACATAACATTCCTTCAATCAACATCAACAGTAACTAGATCTGAAAATTCAAGCAATCAGAAGCCACACAAAACTCTAAATCCCATTCAAGCATGACTGC